TTAGCAGAGGAGCACCTCTAGGCTCTTTATTTCACCCAAAATAAAGTCATCTCTAATGGGGAATTCCACTCGCAGATCTCGAGCGCTCCAAGACCGCTCCATTTGGAGCGCGCATATTCCGCTCGCAGATCTGGCTCAAGTTGGTCATCTTCCGCTCGTAGATCTCTGGCAGCGCCCGCTCCACGGAGCGCCCCAAACTCCGCCGAACTTGCTCTGCGGGGTTCCACAGATCTCTCCGGAAGTTGACAGAGCGGCCCACGTGATTTCCGTCTAAATCGGCGGTGCGCATGCGCGGCGAGGTTGGAGAGATCGGCGGGCCGGTCGGGTCGTGGAGTTTGATCTGTTCTGGTGCGTCGGTTGTTTACTCTGGATTGTGACGGCTCCAACGCTTCTACTTCGCGTAGACCAGGGATAAAAATCCGGGATTGTGGAGCGTGGCAAATCGTAAGCGCTGACTCTGTGATCGCGAGAGGAAGAACGAGAAAAGGAACGACAGAAAAGCCGGAGGCAGACGCAAGGTTAGGCCTATTCGTTCTGCAGCCAGTGATTGTTTACCCTTTTGCACTGCACTCCGTCGGCGTTTTCCCGTGAAATAAAGCAAGAAGTGGTTAGGCAACGACCGCGCAAGTGATGGTTTGTTACCTCTGTGTTTATTAAAGTCGTACTACAAATCTGAACTCCACCGCTGGCAATCGCTGTCCCTGCCCCACCGCTTCGAGGCGGCCGAAAGGTATGTGACGGTGCCGAACGCGGACGTCTTTGTTATTTGTGACATGGGCGCCGTGGTACGTATAATTTCGCCCGGTCTGTGTCGCGTGTTACTTCTGCAGCTAAGCAGTGACAGGCGTCACTGGTCGTCGGAAAGATTTGCCGGCTGAGGCGTTGGTGGGACTGTTCGAGCAGCGACCATTTTGTACGGCGGAGGGAAAATGGGTGGGAAGGGGTGTGGGGGAAGTCGCTCCAAAAACGCAAGTTTATCTTCCCCTCGTCGATTCGGAGCGGGTCCCACGGAGCGGAATTTTGCCTCCCTCACGGATTTTGGAAAGCGCTCCAGATCTACGAGTGGAATTCACCATAAGTCAATAAGAAGCTTTCGAACATACTCGTAGATTTGCCGTCTCACAGCGCATTCCACGCGCTCCACGCTGTTGTGCGCTAACACACACGGCCAACAGATCCACCTTGGCGACGCGAGTCGTACATACCGAGCATGACCCTTACCGCGGTTCGATAACAATAAAGACACGCAAAATATACAAATAAAATACGGGGGACGCGTTTCGGTTTGCGTTTATTTTCCCATACAGACCGCTTCCAGTCTGTTATCGGAGGGCTTGCAAGGTTTCCCAATAGGAGCTCTGAGCTGTGACCCACTTATTTTGATCCTCCCTGTAGCTTCCCTGTGCGCCGAGAATGTAAGGGAGAGGAGGAGGCGAGAGGGGACGTCAGAACACCGAGCTCTATTTGGGATGATTAGTGGGGAGACCTCAAGCTACATGCCTTTGTCTCCAACGCCCTCGCCGAACGCGGCAGAACGCGGAACGCGGGCGTCCTGAGCTTGACTTTCGCATCTCAACTAAGGCTGGGCGTCGATTAAAACTTTTAACCCGATTAATCACCACCCTTTAATCGATCAATTCTCGATTAATCGGTTTCGTTCCTTCCCATGCATATTGTTTTTTTATAAGTCAAAATTACTTTTTATTTATTTTTTTTTTGCTTCTGCGGAATATGTGATAGACGTCGCAATATAGAATTTCGATTATAAATCAACCTCGATGCGTAGTTAAAAACATTTTTACAGCGGTGTAATAACACGTTATTATAATAACGTGTTATTACACCGCTGTAAAAAAATATAATGTGTGGATAGTGATGCAACCTGTGTCCCAGAGGAAACTCACCTTGCGCAATTAAGCTAGACTCTTTAAAAAAAGCTTCCTTTAGAATATTAATTATCTTTATCTTTGTTGTTTTTGCTTACTTGTCTCGGAGCACAAAAGTCTGTCTGTCCCAATTGCTTCCTTCGCGACTCGAACCCGCTATTTGCCGCTGTTGGCGAACATTGTTTCATTTGGTTCCCCTTCCCTATTCGGATGTGACGATACCGGACACAGTCTGGCAGACAAGCTGCCCCACCTCTTGGGGTTTGGGAAAAATTGTGCGGGCAAATTGCCGGCTCGCGCCTGAAAAGCGCCACTCGAACAGGTTGCATTCGTCGGCCTTTGATGACGCGAAGGCCCTTGCCGAAGATCATGGCAAAATATTTTGCCGGTAAATGACCACACGAATTTGCCATTAGTCAGCCTCTATGGGCGTCTGCTCTTTGTTTTTGTTATGAAATTTTGCTAGTGTAATACGACTGCTAGCCTGGGTGTCTTGAACGTGCATGTATCACGCAGGAGTGGCACATGACCGCACTCTGCTACGGTACTCATCCAGATCTAAACGGGTGGGGATTGAACACCCTGGGTAGGATGTACTAGAGCTGGGAGGTGTGCCAACCGTGTCGGCTTCTCCGTACGAGCTGGGTATCGTGTGATTCAATTCTGTCGCAGGGGCCTGGGGTGGCGCTGCCAGTCACAGCGGCGGGACCAGGAGGCCGGTCGAGCAGCGTTTAGCGAGGCTGGCTTGGGGCGTTTTGGTTTGACTATTTCTTTGTGTTTTGCGTTGTGTGTGAAGCGATACAATATTGCGTGGCTGTTAGCTGTGCCGAAGAGACAAATGGACTCTCAACGATGTCAAATACTGCGAAGAAAAAGACAGCGGTGTTGTTTTTGTGCCGGTGTGCAACGTGGGTTACAACAACATATGCCAAGAGAAACACTCCTTGCTTCGGACGCCGAGCGGCGCCTCTCCTTTCGAGGAAAAAGATAGTCTGATTTTAAGCAAATAAAAAATTGAGTGCGTCACGCGTTTGCATTTTTTTTTTCTGAAGGAAAACAAAACGAAACGAATGTTGCTAAAGTTGAAGCCTGGGCGACTTGGTATGACATACTTAAAAGGTTAAAACACCGCAAAAAACGACACAAAGGGTAAAGGAGGACACTGACAGCGTTCTGTCTGCGTCCTCCTTTACACTGTCTGTCGTTTTTCGCGCTGTTTTAACCTTTTAAGTACAAAACGGATGCATAAAAAAAAGAAGAAGAAAAACGTCTAAGAAGAATGTGACCTACGTGACATGTCGAAGAAAACAAATTTCTCCAAGTGGATTGCTCTTCAATAAACTTCAGCAATTGAGGTTGCTCCGTTTACCTCGCGAATCCTGGTGTTTATTTTTATATAATGCATGCTCACTAGATGAAATCAATTCATACATTTCCTGGCCTATAAGCTTTGGCTCAAAATGCAGGTCAAGAAAAATTCGGCTTCATTAATCCATGCTACACAAAAACGATGTATTAACACCAGAACAAAAACTACGTATTTAACGGTCTGCAAAATGTACAGCCGCCGAAAAATAATTAAAAAAAAGCTTCGAAACTAAAGTGGAGAGGAAAACATCGCATATCATATCATAATCAAACTTCGCTTCCTTAATGCTGGTATGTAAGGTGAGATAGACAATTATTCTTCTATAAAAAAAATATTCAAAGAAGCGAGACTGTAAGTAACTTACCTCTCCCAAACGGCACTTGCCCTTCGAATATAAGCTTCTGTCACTCGAGCAAGTCACACTTTTTTACAGGGGTGTGAGATAGGATGGAAAGTATTTCGTTGTAAGCAAAGAGTTATTACAATAAACGCTAGAGGTTCAGGGGGCGCTCGTGTGCTGTTGCATTTTGAAGCAGACAGCAACCACTCTAAATTTGACTTCCGGTAATCCATTCCTACGAGAAAACGCAAATGCGTTTTTTCTTCCCGCTCGATTATAAGAGCAAATATCGATTAGTGTTGCGACAGAATGAAACGTTTGGAACGTTTTACAATGGGATGTACAAAAATGTGTGTCAGTTAGAGCGTTTTTCTTTAAACTTCATGGCGTCGAACACTGCGCTAAAATAGTCCAATACACATGTATAATACGTGTTTATGTTGCAGACTACTATTATAAGGGCACGTATTTACGCATATAGGCAATACTATTAAGCACACAGTGTGAATCAGCTTGACAAAACACCAAAAGGATGCTAATATATGCCAGATCAGACGATCAAAACAGAAGACAAGAACGAAGCACGGAGTTGTGGAACGAAAAACACGTACTGGATTAGTACGTGTTTTATTACAGCTTGAGTGCTATTATGGCTTGAATAAACCCTACGCACTTTTTAATTGTTCTTTTTGCTTGGATTGATAGTTTGTATCGACATATCACGCTGTACTAAATAGACCTGGGCCTCAAATTTTTGATAACTTAAACAACGCTCACTAATAAAAAACAAAACCCATTAACCCAATAAATTACCTTTTGATAGTGTGAATAAAGCTACATAGTACCCGTTACGAGTAAAGAAACTACGCTGATTTCTATTATTCTCCGGCGAAGAGACAAAATTCACGCGCGTTTTCCCATAGGAATACACAGGAAGACTGGCAAAGTAGACTGGTTGCTGTCTGCTTCAATTTGCAACCGCAAGTCCCGTAGATACAAGCGCCAGCTGAGCCTCTAGCGTTTATTGTAATAACTCTATGTTTCTAAGTACACCCTACCCCAGGGGCGGATTTAGAGGGGGGGGGGGGGGTCCGGATGTCCTGACCCCCCTCTTGATTTCTGCATGTGTAAAATTTAGGGCGTGAAACGAGGGAGAGGGTGAGGGGGTTCCTAAACAAATGGTACGCTGACCAACACCTGACCCCCCCCCTCAGGAAATTCCTGCATCCGCCCCTGCCCTACTCTACCCTGGGCTCTGCAGCGCGAGCTCTCCCTCCACGGGCTCCGAGCTGCGGCGCGCTAGCACACCTGAGCTAAAGCGCTCTAATATGAGTGAGACGCAAACACGCGGCCGGTCGGTCGCTTTTTCCCGACGAACAAGCCTAGGGTTCATGCGTGGCCGTACCCTTGTGCACTTTGCCGAAGCACCCTTCGCCGATCTCCTCGACGAAGCAGATGTTGTCGGCGCAAATCTCCACGTCGTGTAGCACCTTGCGCAGCGGAGTCTCGGGCGCGGACGCGTAGTAGGTCGGGTTGGTCACGTACTGCTGCATGCACTTGTTCAGCGAGCCGGGCGCCGAGCCCGGGCCCCGGCCACACCACTGACGGCGTCGGCGGAGCGCCATCACGAGCAGCAGTCCGACGACCAGGAGGGAGCCCAGCAGCGCCAGGAGACCTCCCAGCAGCGGCGCAGCCACCGGGGCGGGCCGGGACAGTTCCTCCCTCGTGCTTGGGTTCTGCGAACCAAGACACGCACGAGACGGACGCTGCACACGGGCGCCAGAGAGTTTCCAGGCAGACTGCGTATGCATGGATACGACCGATGCGCATCGCATCGAGGGGGGAGGGGGGGAGGACCAATCGCGTGAGCCCAATCTTCATCTCTCTTCTTGCCCATTGCCCAAACATTGTCGTCAAATCTCGATTCAATACACTACGGTCGCATACAAGTAAGCGCATTCAATGACAGCTACACAGGACGTGGCTTGTGTCACGTTTCTTGATTGTGATTCATTCTTCGGCATTCTTATCGGCCGGAATTTCAGTGACTGCGGAAAAATAATACGATGCCCGGGAATCGCCACGTCCCGCACTTCTTGAGCTGTTTGCGGCAATACTTTCCAGCGCTTGAAGAGCCAATCACTACCAGCTGCGAAGACTAACATGCGAAAAGCAAGAATCGAACAAAGTTGTAAGTGGAATATATATATACCACCGGTACTGGGACACTGATCAACTTTAGGGTCATTTAACTTGATAATCGAATTTCTGGCTATGGAAGGTTTCCGGCTTCTTCGTTCGCTTGTTTTCTTATGTTGATCGCTGCGATTGAATTTCGACGTGCTCTGCAGGAAAGTAGGCGCACGACAAGCATTTGGACAAGAACCGCCTGCATACTACCGCCACGTGATGCACTCGACATTGAAGCGATATAGCGTCCAAGTGACCATGCGATATCAGTGGCAAAAGGGATGAGTGACTTTTTGGCCCATGAGACTGACCATGGACACTACCACCCTCCCACCTCACTTGTTAAGTTTACCGAAGCAAGATCAGTGATCGCCGCGTCGAGAGCATCTCGGTGCAGCATACGTGCTGTGCTGACATTTCGGACAGTGCATGCGACATCCAGTCATACTCACAAAGCACTTCTTTGGTAAAACCATAAAGTTATATAATGCACACCAGAGGTTCAGCTGGCGCTAGTGTGCGGTTTGAAAGTGACGCATACAGATGGCAACCAGTATAAAAGTGACTTCCCGTAGTGCATTTCAAAGCGAATAGGTTAGTGCACTTTTTCTCTGCACCCAATTCTAAGGAAAAATATTACGAACAATTCTTATGTGAGAAATAGCTTGAAACATTTTTCAGTCGCGTACACGAAACTGTTGGTCAGTTACAGTGCTTTCTGTATTTAAAATTCATGGCAATAAACACCATTTTCAAAAATAGGGTCATGAGTGCATTTATGTACACTGTCCGTCACTGTTAGCTTAAACACGGCATCGAAGCTTTTTCTGAAAAGGGGGGGGGGGGGGGGGGGGGGTTACGTGCCAAACCAACAAAGGGAACCTCGAAAATCAAGAGAGCCGGCAGGAACTATACGCAGTAAACCTGGATCAGAGGTATAAGCACAAAATAAAATTGTATAAAATTGTATAAATAAAATAAAAGAAGCCCGTGGAACTTGGGCATCTTTCAGTCAATGAAAGCCCCAATTCGGGTTTTGTTGGTTTTCCCCGATTTTGATAAAACTCGCTCAGGAGTTATTTTTCGGGATTTATTGGTATTTATCGAAAAAGAGCCCCAGTTATACCCCAAGGAGGACATGATACAGGGGTATAATCGTCACGACGAGTTGGACCATAAGCACAAACATGTTAGTACTTTTTAATTAGTGAAAGTAAACGTATGATTCGAATTAGAAACTTGCTCAGCATCATCGCAAACTTCTAAATTACTCAAATTAAAAAAAAAAAGAAAAGAAAAAGACCTGGAGCGCGTGAAGCGGTGGTGGACTAAAGTTACCACTCGTACAACAGCCCCTTGGCTGTGGGTGTGAAAACGCGCCCGCGCTCTTTTTTCGTATCTTGTAACCAGGGTTTCTGCAGCGCCAGCTTTGCGCGTGTTGGACAAGTGGTGACCTTAGCAATAAAGAGTATTCACTGGCGGCCATATCTGTGTGCGCGGCTACTGAGCGCGTGCTGACGGCGAGCTTCCGCAGTCCTTTTGGAGCGTGCATTTAGCACCATCAAGGTTGCCGGTCTTAGCAGGCTATTAATCTGAGCTCGTTCTGAGCATGCGCTCTAAACATCGCCCTCAAATATGGCGTCCAGTGAATACCTCCTATACCGTGCTTCCCACGCGCTCCAAACCTTTTTGAATTGATCGATGTACTGGTTTTTGAGGAAGCTCAGGGAGTTTTTAACTAGAACAATATGTTTATTTTCATTAATTAAAAAGTGAATCGAGAGATATTAGGTAATTATCCTACATATAGCGGCAATCAGCTTCCGATGTTATGTCCCCCCACGGCCGTATAAAGGCTTGTCCTATCAGGATACTATAAAACTCGTGAGGCGACCCGACTCCGTCAAAAATTGTGAAAATTGAAGTGTCGGGCAGTCCTATGTCTGTTCGTACATCGGTCAAGCGAACAGCATGATTTCCTCCTCGCTTCCTCCGCTTTTCGGTAACCTCGGTCCTCGTCAAACTTGACGTCACACGCCACCTGCCAATGCTGTCCATCTGTTCTGCCAAGCCCTCGTATCCTTGGACATGTTCCAAAATTTACTCGATCGTACTCCAGGGTAAGGGTTTTGTACCTTTGCGACGAAAACCTACCCGCGTCCAGCGGCGCCCTCTTTGTGTTATAACGTGACACGACCCGCCAGAGCAGCTCGGATCTATTTGGGTAAGATTTAGAACACAGCCCTGTCCTTTCCCGTTTTCGGGACTTGAAGAGCAGCGGAGGCCTTCAGCAAGTGACCCACTCCCAACAGAGGCTGTAAGTGGCTGTCCGGACCCACATGATAATCATGTTCAAGGCTCCCATGAAATACACGGGCGAGCTCAACAAAAAAATCGTTCCCTCCAAAAAAAAAAAAAAAAAAAAAAAAAAAAAAACGGACGGAAGTGGAGCGCTGCGCGATTTATGTCGGAGTTGTATTGCCTCACCATTTTTGTGAGCGATACGTATTGTAGAATCCTGTTTGGACAGGCCACCCGCACCCGCACTTACACTCACCCACACTTACACTCTAAAAAAAAGCCCGTGCGTCTACTTTCCCGCATAACACTCGAAGAGCCAATCACCGCAATTTACGGAGGCAGATCAGCGAATGACGATGCCGAAACATGCGTTTAGTTTTAGACCAAAAAACGCAGTCTGAGTTGTGACATTAAGCAATGCAAAACGTCACGCTTGCATTGCTTAATGTCACAACTAAGACTACGCTTTTTGGTCTAAACGTATATTTCGGCATCGTCATTCGCTGAGCTGCATCCGTAAGTTGCGGTGATTGGCGCTCCGAGTGTGGTGGGGGAAAGTAGATGCACGTGCTTTTTTTTAGAGTGTATACTGCATTAGTGTAGCTTTCACGGCTATTTAAAATCAAGTTTGGAAAGTCTAAGAAAAACACCTCATGGAATAATAGAAAAGACAAACATACGTTTCTTGTTTTACGGCTTTTTAACTGCTCGTAAAGGTAAAAGGCGGGGGCAACTTTAGTGACATATAAATCTCGCAGATGATCATTATTAGCGTCATCGGGACGTTGACGCGCCTTGAACAGCCCAGCGTTCCTTGCAACTGCTACTCTTGCTGGGATTTGTCGTTTGTTTTTACTCATCTCATCTACTGCAGAAGATAGGATTGGGCCGGAAATGCCGTAAATTTAAACAACGTTCACTAATAAAAAAATTGCAATTACAGAAGTTACACTTTTATAATGCTAATGACGTCACCTACTAATCGCTACGACCCAAGTAGCAACGGCGATTCCTGTTATTCTCCGTTTAATAGACAAAATGCACGCTCGTTTTCCCATAGGAATGTAGAGAAGTACCGCAAAAGTGGAGCTGGGTGCTGCTTGTTTTAATTTGAAACCGGATGTCGCGTCTAGCGTATTATTAAAGCTTTCGTAACGCGAAGACGCGGTTCCTTGATCGCAGTGATCAGAGTGAAGGATAGACAATATGATTGAACTCGTGATTCAATTCAGGCCAGTTTTACTATGGTGATTTAAATCAAGCTTTACCGCACAAATAATCATGAAAATATTTTTTTTTTATTTTACCGTTTGTCTATCATTTGATTCTTTCTATGCGCATTGCGTTTCGTATTTCAATCAAATAATCAAGCATAAAAGATTTCTATAGGCCTGAACACGAGCAAAAAGAAGTGCTCTTCTGAGCGAAGCGTTCACCTTTCTTCCTACCTTCAACTTCGTTCGTCAGCTAGTCCTCTTTCAACAAAATCAAAGCGCAAAAGAAAGAAACGAAAACTGGAGAAGGATGGTACTATTACATCAAAATCAGAATTCGAAAAACAAAAAAACAAACAAACCGTGGCTTAGCTCGGCTATACTTCGTCTCACCCTACGATGGACTAAAGGCTAAAGCTACGGACCCCAAGATCCAATCACGAGCCACTTAGAAATTGTGCGGAATTTCGCTTCGATGCACGTATCGGTGCCTGAGTCTCGGGTCACTGATGAGGGGATGGGTGGAGAGTGGTTCGAATCGAAGAGCACTGAGTGACTCAACAATTTTACGTGGCAAAGAAAGACACGACATAGAGGCTCTTTGCAGCGTCGAAGCTATAGAAATGATGGGGCGCTTTTGGATTCGAGCATTATTCGTCCACCCCTAATCAATGTTAAGCGTGTCATAGCATAGCATGGAACGTGATTGGACCTGGCGCCCGTGGCTTTGGCTGTTAGTCCATCGTAGGATGAGACAAAGTATATGCCAGGATATACGTAGCGTAAGCTTAGGTTCAGCTGGTTATTCTTAGCTTTCCTGGTTGTCTAGGATTAGCTTGATTATCATGCTTACTGATGCTTCAATGACACACACACGGTATACGCATTATGTGACTAGTTCGAGATCCGATGAGTTAAGCTTCTCCGCTCTTTTTATTGCGGAGGAGGCACCCTGTAACCGAGCTTCGGTTGCACGTCAAAAGATCCCCAGATGGTCCAAACTAATCCTCAGTCCTCCGCTGGGGCATGCC